GTATTTTTGTCACTCCCATTACTAGTAGGATCCCCCATGTATTTTGTTACTCCCATTACTAGTAGGATCTCCCATGTATTTTGTTACTCCCATTACTAGTAGGATCCCCATGTATTTTGTTACACCCATTACTAGTAGGATCTCCCATGTATTTTGTTACTCCCATTACTAGTAGGATCCCCCATGTATTTTGTCACTCGAATTACTAGTAGGATCCCCTATGTATTTTGTTCGAGTGACAAAATACATGGGGGATCCTACTAGTAATTACTCCCATTACTAGTAGGATCCCCTATGTATTTTTGTCACTCCCATTATTTGTAGGATCCCCAATGTATTTTATATAAAGAGTGATTTATCCCAATTGAAGTGAGTATTACAACAGAGAAAACATAAAATAACCCAACATAATATGTTATGTGGACCTTGATGGTAGTGAACAGTATAAAAACAAGATGGTGGTTTTGCGAGTTAATACAGAAATGACACAAACTGTTAATAGTTGTCTCTTTCAGCGAGTTATGGTGGAATGAATTGTTTAACGTAACAAAAGTTAAGCTGTTCGTGTTTCAGACAGACATGGACGAAAGCACTCAATTAATCCAACAGAAATCAACTCTCGAGCTAATATTTGGGCCCTTAAGCAAGAAGGCTGTACGCATATATTGGCAACTACTGCATGTGGATCCTTGCGTGAGGAAATTCATCCCGGAGATTTTATAATTCCTGATCAATTCTTAGACAGGTGAGACATTTTTTTTTCTTGCTTCAGTATTTCACACTAAATTGTTTTTGAGTTGCAAACAGATATATTTAAAAAAAAAAAGATGGATATTTTTTTTTTATATGTATTTCAAAATGATACGTATGAAAATGATATTTTCTGTTTTCACAAAGAAAAGTTTTTTAAGATGAAAAATACTTAAAATAAAAGAATCTTTCATTTAAACAGTAAAAGAATAACAATTGTCCATGCTAGTATAGTCAATACTGAAAACATTGTGGTTATGGTTTGGGAAATAATGAAAGTGTTTTTTTTTTGCTAAAAGTGAAGTTTGTTTAAAAGGTTACACAAAACAGATGTTTAAAGATTGACTACATAAAATGTTTAACTGAGTTTTTCAGGAACAATGATGTGTAAGTTTAAAGTATGCATAAAAATGTAGGTTCTAGAAAATAATTTTGGGCAATGGAAAAAAAACACAAATGGAACAGATCTCTATTTATAATCAGCATAAATGTTTATGTACTAGCTTGGTCAGCTTTTAAAATCATATTCAAGGTGTTTGTTGGGGCTGGAGAGGCTCTATACCCATGTATGCACAGGACATGGACAGAAGGAATTATATCACGCTTTCAAATCAGGCAATGAGCCCATAATCTCAAGCTGCTTCTATCACCTGTTATTTCAAGTAACATTTGTAGAGAAGAAAACTTCCCAACTCATCCTAGTTTGTATAAGTATCTGTGTTGCCCATTGAGGTAGGACTCCCTCCTCTCTCTCTCTCTCTCACCAATATATAACCTATGGCGTTTAAAAGTATTAGCACATTCTTTTAAACTTTCAACATCTGTTTGACAAACATTTCATAACTAAATACAGAACAACTGCATGAAAATTTAGAAAAATTGCTTGAATATATTTAACTAAAGATATATATTCTAAACAAGTTATAGAAGAGTGAAATTAGTAGCTACTGGATTTCAGCTGTGATGGAGTAAACAGATACATACTTTGCTATGAAATTAGAAACTTTCTTTGAATATATGAATCTGGACAGAGTTAGAACATTTATGATTATTATGCTTTAAGACTTACATCAGATTACAAGATATATTTTCATTCAGAATTTGTAGAAATACTGATGCATTATGAGATATTAGTTTGATTATTATTTTAAGAATAAGGTATGCTTAGTTAATAAAGTTAAAAATGAAGAATATCTTCATATTAATATAATTTAAATCACAAGTACAGGCAATATTTTAGTGAGAAACATACAGAGATATTCCACATATAGGTATATTTTCTCTAAAAAAGAAAAAGCTTGACTTTATTTCATTATTCCAACCAGAACTACAAAGCGGGCTAGTACTTTTTATGATGGAGGTCCAAACTCTCCCAAAGGGGTGTGTCACATCACAATGCACACACCATTTTGTCCACACACAAGACAGGTATGTTTAGCTTAGGTTATTTGGTTTTTGACACCAAGTTTCACCTATCCAGAAGAAAATGAGTTATATGTAACAGAAATTTTCATTGTTTCGAATTACAAAATTATATGGATCTATAAAGGTATCATTTTAGGTATTAAAAGTTTAATTTTACTTGTCACTTGTGTCCTGATTTAACTTTGTAATATTTTTTTTTTATGATTCCACATTTATACGATTGATTTTATATTAGTTTTTATTTAGGAAGTTTTGTAATGTGCGATTAATATGAGCCTTTTTTTTTTAAATTTTCAGGTACTGAAGGATGCAATGAAGCAATTGGGTTATACCGTACACGAATCAGGAACTGTCATAACTGTTGAGGGGCCACGCTTCTCCAGCAGAGCTGAGAGCAATCTTTTCCGTTGTTGGGGTGCTGACATAATCAATATGACAACTGTACCAGAGGTTTGATCAAATAAATTCTTTTAGGATTGGGAAAGGGGATGAAGTATAGCAGTTATTAGATAATAATACAAACACATCAGTCTAAACTTGTCCAGACTTGTAAACTGCTGATGGAGCTTTTCATTCTGTACCCAAGTTTGACTTGCTAGGAGGTTTACAACACGTCAAGTTTTAGTTTAAGCTTATTCGGTATCGTTCGTTTATGAGAGAGTTGTAAACATGAAAGTTGGTGATGCACGTAGTCAGTTTTAAGACAGTAAGTGTAATTAAAGAACACAACAAGAATAATCTGTAACTTTGTGACAAAAATCATGTAAACTGCAGATTTAGAATCGAAAATGTACAATGTATGTGATTTTTATCACACATTTTAGGCCTAAAATTTTCTAATGTTTCACCAGCTTTCACTGTTTAAACTGCAAGTTATTCAATAATGACGATTTAAAACACATTCTTCTAAACGGCTTCCCGTGAGAGTTGAGTTTTTAGCACTTTAACTATGTTACTAACGTTGTGCTAAACTTCTTACAAGATATTTTGGTCAATACCAGCACTTATCAAACTGGCTGGTTTTCAACAGGTATACTTGAAGATTTGATATAACTTGCCAAGTGTGTAATGCTAAAACACTTCTTTACTGAACAACTGTACTGGGCATGCTAAGAATTATGTGTTAAAATTATTATCATTGTTATAGTGTTTGTTTTATCAAATCTTATATTAAAAGGGAGTGGAATTTTGCTAGGCTTAGCATATATTAAATAGATTGCAAAAATATATTTATTCATAATTTTAATCTGATGCATTTATTGCCATCTTGGCTGATCAAAATATAAATTTTATGTGGACTTTAAAATCACAAGTGTAAGATCAAAGTTTAGTCATTGTTTCAATTGGCAATTACACTGCCTTTCTCACTTCAGTCTCTTTGTTTCAAGATAATATTTGTTTTATCATAACTGTTGTAGTATTTCATTTTTATTTTCCACTGAAACATTTTAATAACACCAGTTTTTTATGTTTGACGTCAGGTTGTTTTAGCAAAGGAAGCTGGATTGTGCTATGCTGCTGTGGCCATGGCAACTGATTACGATTGTTGGCACGATGAACAGGAAGCAGTGAGTGAAAATTGTTTTAACATAGGATACTTGATACTTATTACATAATATATACGTGATGTTGATAAATAACCAAATGATCAGTGTTTAATTAATTCTTATAAATAATCCAAATAATAATATTTTTTTAAATATTACCTAATGCAAGAACTGTGGGTTTATAATATATTCATCTCAGTAATAAGATGGACAAAGTTAATATCCATTCCTCTGTTATTCACTGAATACTTTTTCATTTTCAAAATTTAGTGTTCCCAGTGGATCAGTAGGAAGTCTGAAGGCTTACAGTGTTAAAAACTGGGCTACAATACCTGTGGTGGGCACAGAACGGATAACCCATTCTGTCACTTTGTGCTTCACAATCAACAAACCAAACAAAATTTACTTTTACAATACGTAGTCAAAGAGTTTTATTTTTACCATTATAAGTTAAGAATAGTTCAAGTGGTTCATAAGTTAAAATCAGAAATCTGCTTTTTGTTGTACAATTTTTAGGGACTGAACATTAAAAACAAAAACATTGTTAAATATAATAAACATTTTCAAATCCCAATTACTTTCTATATTATTTGGATTTATTTTTTAACACAACTACTAATATGTATATAATGTTTCTGACTTGTGTACCAAGAGGGAATGACAGATTTAGAATGTAATTTATTTTCAACTAATTATTTAACTTAGGCATTCTTTTTCTCAAAAGTTAAAAAGAGAAAAAAAAAGAATACGAGTGACTCTCGCAAAACACCCTATCTTTACTTTGTATATCAACAGAACTGTTAAGTGTTCATGCAATTTTTAGCAACTCTATTAAACTCTGAAACAAAACATAATGAAAGTACATTAAATGACAAAACATTCCCTCCTTCCAATAAAGAAATTTCCAAGTCAAGTTGCAATGGAACGACACAGACTTTATGGCTAATTCACAAGTCTAGTTATTAAAGGGTTGAGAAAAATATTGCTTGTTTGAGGCATATTTGGAGATGCTACCTTGCAGTTTCATGCATTCTTGTGGTTACTGACCATTGTAAAGACGTTATTACATCCTTAAAAATACATTACAATTGTTTGATTTAAGAATTATAACAAAAAGAACTTTTAAATATGTCCTTCAATTTCCCATATATTATTATAATGGAGCTTGCGATGTATACGTCCAAAACTCAGATCTCAGAAACTACTACAACTATCATCATCAGTCATAACTGGGTAACTATAAATAAACTAACTAAATAAACTGGTCATAACTATAAATAAAACAATTGAAATATCCAGAAAATGATATGTTTCAGATTTAACCAATAAAAATTACAAACAAAAATAAGTAAGTTTCAAATATAAAACAAACTTAAAAAAAGTATTTGTTTTTCTTTAGTGACAATCTCATGAGAGTTGCAACAGAAAAGCAAGACACTTTCGTTGATAACTGTGTCTACAAAGAAACACTTCAATAAAATTTACTCTGTGATGATAGCTCATTTTTAAACTAAAATTTCAATAAAATCCTTTCTCTCTCATGGATGGTGAACATTATTGAATGTCAAGTACATGTACTTTGTTGTAGAACTGTCAGACAATTCCAGAAAAGGTTGCAGGAACTAGCAGTTATACCTTCCCAGAAGGCAGGTATTTCTCTTAGTAAAAATTTATCATCCATTATCGCAGGGAATCTGGTGAACAAAATCAAACTTTTTTTTTCTCTCGTGATAAATGTAAACACAATTTTCTAGTTTTGCACGCTGATTCCAAATCTGTTTTCGGTTTTCTTCTAGCACATCTAGTCATCGAAATATGACTGGTGTTAATTTCAGCACAATTTAGGTAATAATCACATATTAGGCTAGTTAACGTTACAACTTTATTAATTTTTCAGTATAATTCCTATAAGTATTATAGACACGCAAAAAAGAAATGTTCAATAACCTTTCAAATTTTATCGGTCTCATCACAAAAACTTGACGTGCCAGAGGAAAACCAAAAACAGATTTGGAATCGGTGTTCCAAGAGCTATCTAGCACACCTATAATTATATCTGATAAAAATGACTTGTTGACCAGTGGTACTCAAAAAACATCAGTACTTGACCACTGACATCACAATATGCATAACTTTTATAATCGTAGAACCTATATATATTATTTATACTCGTGTTCTTTAGGTGCATTTGGAAGCTGTACTTAAAGTACTGAAAGAAAATGGTCAAAAAGCGATAGAACTGTTAAAAAAAGCAGTGGAGATAATTTCTCAGAAGGACTGGACAAATATACTTAAATTTTATGAGGTAAGAGCTTGTTTTATCATTTTGTTTCTTACAATGTGTTTCATAGATGTAAGCTTAAACCAAGTATTAATTAAACTATTATATAGTTAAATCATAAATAATATTCAACGTTAAACTGGTACACAATTAAAAACATCTTTCTTGAGTGATTAAAATATTTACAACATTAAAAATTCTATAGAATTTGTTGAATAAATACGTAAGGTGTATCTAACAAATAATGATATGATTGTATCTTTTGATATTGTATCATTATTCATGAAATTATCTATTGATTCAGCTATCAGTTGTTTTGAAGACCAATTACGTGTAAACAACGTACCGGTCGTTGAAATTTTAGACATGATACACTTAACAAAAACTTGTGTTAAAGACTCATCTTATTCGATTTAATAACAAGATTTATAAACAGAGTGAAGGCGTAGCTATGGGTTCTCCATTATCTCATTTGTTATGTGATCTTTTCATGGATATATTTTCAACCTAATGTCTCGCGGAATGCTAAACTTAAACCGGAAACATAGATTAGGTATGTCGATGACACGTTCGTTGTGTGGCGGCATGGTAAAGAATACCTGCGAGAGTTCACTAATTACTTAAATAGCCTCGAACCATCTATTCAATTTACTCACGAAGTTGAAGAAAACAACGGCTTACCGTTTTTGGACGTATTTGTTAATAAAACCAAGAATAAGTTAGAAACTACGGTGTAAAGTAAACCCTTTCTTCATCCAAAGTCGGTAAAAATGTCAGCTTTTTACTCTTATGTTTACAGGTATTTAAAACTATGTTCTAATTCAGCAGACTTAAAAACAAGAACTGTTAATTATTACAAATGTACCATTAGATAGAGGTCTCTCACTTCATATTGTTGATACAGCTGTGAAGAAATTGAACAAATAACAAATAATGATCAAGAAAACTAAACTAAAATCAACATTTGATAAAATAGATATAACAGAAATGTTGTTTTTTACCACGTGTTCCAGGTTCGTCATCTCAATTTTTCCATAAATTCAAAAAACAAAACAAAAATCTTATTGCAATTTACAGATCATTGAATAAAATTAGTCAAATATTAAATAAAACTAAAGATGAAATAAATTTAAGATAATATAATGTTTTGGGACAACATGGGACCTATTGGTCTACCTTGGCTGTTCCATCCTCTAAACTAAAACAATCAACAAATAAATGTAAACAAATCTGAAAGCCAGCCTTTATTATTCATATACTTACCCAGCTTTCTCTCAAACTCACTTAAATTTCATGACTCCACAACATCCGAAGGCAACCCATTCTTAAGTCCAACCACCCATTTAGAAAAATGAAACTGTCTTAGCTGAAGATGTCTCCTACCTTGCTAAAATATATATTTGTGTCCTTTAGTCCTACTATTCTCACAGCTAAATATGAAAAAAGATGAAAAACACCTCAATCAGATCCCCCCCAACTCTTCTTTTTTCAAGAGAAAACAATTTTAGAGATTTCAACCTCTCTAGTATCCCTTCTCTGAACACTTTCCAACAATTCGATGTCCTTCCTAAGGTAAGGAGTCCAAGACTGAACACAATATTCCAAATGTGGCTTAACCAGTGACCTGTACAATGAAAGT